AGGACATCTTGAACAATGTGTGTTTATGGACATCCTGAACCACAACATAAAACTAATTATAGTCACAATGTGTGTTTCAGGAGATCCTGAACCACAACATAAAACTAATTATAGTCACAATGTGTGTTTCTGGACATCGTGAACCACAACATAAAACTAATTATAGTCACAATGTGTGTTTCTGGACATCGTGAACCACAACATAAAACTAATTATAGTCACAATGTGTGTTTCTGGACATCCGTGAACCACAACATAAAACTAATTATAGTCACAATGTGTGTTTCTGGACATCCTGAACCACAACATAAAACTAATTACAAACAAGTCAGTTATTATACACCACCTGAACAAACAAAAAACTCAGAATCCTTTTCTTCTCCAAGTTTTACAATATATTTAAACTTACTTTGAACGTTTGCTTGAGCCAAAAGAAAGAAAATGTGCCTTCCTAATCCTTGGCCATTAGGATGAGGTCCCAGTCCATTGTACCTTTGTAAAATGAGTTATAGCTATTTGTAATTATCAGTAATTTATATCTCTTTCTCCATCACCCTAAATTTCAGTCTAATTAATAATATTTATTCACTATTCATTCCTTCATCATTTCATAATGATAAAATAAACAATCACACTTCAGTGTTGCACTTGCTGATGAAGTAACATTCAGTCAACTGTTCTGTACTTTCCTTAATGATTGAAAGTAAACTCCATTATCAGTAAGTCCTCTATCACATTCACACATGGTTCTAAATTAATGATTACATACACCTGTGACTATTTGGTTAATTAAATATCATTTTAATAATAGAGGCACCATAGCTATTGGTGTGAAACAACCAAACAGAAACAATAACAAATACAGATTGGCCACTTTAGTCTTGTGGACCTGCCACAATTCAACTTACATGTCTTCACTCCTGAGGAGTGAAAAGTTGTATATGTCTTTATATGAGGTAATAAGAATTGCCCTGGAAATTATAAACTATTTAGTCTTATGTGCATAATGGAAAAATTTCTAGTCTGATAAAAGACGCTTTACAAAATTATTTAGTGCTATAATATCATAAAAATAAAATCAACAATAATACATTAAAGAGAACTATGTAAACTTAGTGCTATAATATCATAAAAAATAAAATGAACAATAATACATTAAAGAGAACTACGTAAACTTAGTGCTATAATATCATAAAAAATCAACATTAATACACTAAAGGGAACTACGTAAAATTAGTGCTATAATATCATAAAAAATCAACATTAATACACTAAAGGGAACTACGTAAAATTAGTGCTATAATATCATAAAAAATCAACAATAATACACTAAAGGGAACTACGTAAACTTAGTGCTATAATATCATAAAAAATCAACATTAATACACTAAAGGGAACTACGTAAAATTAGTGCTATAATATCATAAAAAATAAAATCAACAATAATACACTAAAGGGAACTACGTAAACTTAGTGCTATAATATCATAAAAAATCAACATTAATACACTAAAGGGAACTACGTAAACTTAGTGCTATAATATCATAAAAAATCAACATTAATACACTAAAGGGAACTACGTAAAATTAGTGCTATAATATCATAAAAAATAAAATCAACAATAATACACATGATATGTATGACACATACGCTGCCTTTTATATAGATTAAATTATTATAGTTATATTTAGAAAAAGTTTTAAATTTTTGTAAGTCTCATATGCAGATGTGCAAGGAATCAAGCTTTTTGTGTAGAGAGGTAAGGTATCTCAAAAACAGTAATTTTGATAAGTTGATTGTTTTTGTGACATTAATTAACTAATTTATGGGAACTATTTGATGTAATCTCTGCTCATAAATAACTGATTAAATAACATAGCTCTAATTGTGATAGGAACATACTTAGTAAACTAATAAAGATTGATGAAGATATTAACTCAAGTATTTCCATATTCCTTTTTGTCATTTATCATCATGTTTATATTTTACCTTCCTCTGTTATTTAAGTAAGTTGTCTTGTGATTTTTGTTATGAAATGTCACTCACTTATCTTTAGCAAGATAAAATGACTGCCAGAGTTCCAAGGTTTTTGTCAGTAAATCAGTTTATCACAACACACATTGATCACATGTCCTGTCAACAGCCAATAGAAATCTTGTATTGAATTATAATCTCATCATCTGGTATAAAATAAAAGCATAAAAAAAAGTAGAACTGAAGCCACACATTTCAAAATACCTTCAACATGAGAGTAGTAACAATAACTAAAGTGACTTCAACATGTGTAATAACAATAACATATAAATTCAGTGTTATGTAGCAAAAATAACTAAAATAGCTATAATGTCAGTAGTAACAATAATAATTCATATGAATTCAATGTAAATAATAACAATAATTAAAATTACTTCAATGTGAATAGTAACAACTGAAATTTTTCTTGTCCCCAAAACACAAGCAAGTAATGCTTGTTTGAAATCTCATCATTTTCGTGCTTTAGCTTTCATGATCTTCCAATGTAGATGATGATGTCTGTGATTTTTAAATTATTTCTTTGTATTCTGAACTATCCATTAAGAATCCTTCTTTCATGGAGCCCTTTTTAAACATTTAAGTTTAGCATCAAAGAATTGAAATAGCTTTGTTTGATTTTGTATTTTCTGTTTTAAAATTAAACTCTTACAAATGGCTTCACTTCAGTAACAAAAATTGACTTGGCTAGGTTGGAATTTATATTTGGCTGTGAAATAAATTTAGATACTAAAATGAAAGATTAATTTACTCAATCATTACTTTAAGTTCAAAACATTTAAAAAGTTAACTTAAACTTTAAGTTAAAATTAGTTAAATAGGTTACAATTTATATTGTACTTTGTAGTACTACTAGTACTTGTTAACTGTTAGTGCTACGTATAGAAAAATATATGGCACAACTGTAAATAATTAACGACTTACACTGTAATAAACTAGTGAATAGTCGCATGAGACGCTGTAGTGGAGACCAACCCCATTTCTGATCCTAATTTTCTATTTCAAAGTTTGTGTGACTGTTGTGAAGTGCTAAGCCTAAGCAATAACATTGTTAATATAAACTACGTAAGATTAGGCTTAGAATAATTAATACTTCCTGAGAATAAGTTAACAAATCTAAATATCTACTGTTTGATAAATTCTGTTATACTGGTGTAAACTTTAACTCTACTATATAATTTCAAATTTATTCTTCTTCTGAGTATTAAATTTACACTGTTATGTATAAACTAACCTGATAAAACCTTGAAATTAATCATATAAATATGATGAACAAACTAACCCAAAACGGATATCGTCCATACTCTCGACGGCATGTCACCAATAACATTATTAACATATTTTACATTTTCCAAAAATATAAATATACGTATTTTGTTACAGTCTGTATAAAATAACAATGTTTTCTTACCTACTTACTGTATTATGAATCGTTATCTTATCTTGAGATCACAAACCTGATACAGCTTATCACATCCATTCTTATCCAAGTTTTAGTTTGAATAGCCAGAAAAATCGTTCCCCTCTCCACCCCTTTAAGTTTAATCCCTTCCAACTTTATACCGTTGTTGTACATTTAAACAGTTTCATCATTCCGACTATACTGCAATTTTCCATTTTTATGCTTAAAAAAAAAAGACATAAAATATTACTAAAGCAAGTGATGGCTATAGTATAGTAGTGTTACGTCTGTGTTCGTTTGTTAATTTTTCGTAGAAATTCTTTCCGAAGAACTTCAACGATGCAAGTCCTTTCTTAAATAAAACTAGTTTATTCCTTCTCAATACAACTTTTCAACACACAGAATTTCCACGGTCACTTTAACTTAAACACACACTATAACTCACAACGCTTCACGCACTTTTCTTACGGTCACTATCGCTCACTTGATTCAATTATCTGTCTCTATCTCTCAATCTGCAATTCTCCATATCGTCACTTCTTGCCGGTCTCATATATACAAAATAGAGGACGTCTGGAAAACACTCGAGCCTTCACGAACCTTCTAGGTATTCCTTACGCGTTACCAGCGTCACGTGAATTCCGCTGTCGTAACAGTAGCTTAAGGTTATACTTATACTTAGTATCATATGAAAGCTTTAAAAAAAGAGTGAGAGAGTATGTGTGTATGAGTATGGAAGAGTATGTCTTCTGAGTTAACTTAGAGCAGAATAACTAAATTTATGCTCATTTGCGAAAAGAAACAAAGTTTTATAAATAATACTCATTATACTGTTGTACTTTTTTTCTCCCATTCTAATCACTAACTTGTTGAGAGCTTTAAGCCGTGGATATTAACTTTAATTGTATCAGAAGTAAAGATAATATCTCGCTAATGCTTTCATTTCTACTCAAATCAAATTAAAAAAAACGACTTTTCAATCTATTCGGTCAAACCTGTGTTTTTCCAAATCCTTGTTAGTAAAATAAATGCCCCTAGTGGCTCAACGGCAAGTCTGAGTACTTACACCGTTAAAAACCAAGTTTCGATATTTGTGGTGAGCACAGCACAGATAGCACATTGTGTGTGTGCTTTTGTGCTTAAAAAACAATCAAATGAAAGATAAATATTTGCTACTGTTGAAACACTTGCTATTTATATATTCACCAATTAATATATAACTACGGAATCTTTAACAATGGGTTAAAATGCTTTTAAAATAAAATAGTAATCGATCAATGATTCAGATAAATACCTTTATTGGAACCGATAACCTATAAAGTTTAAACTTTTTCAAATAATATTGCTCAGTGAAATAATTGGGAACATGCCGAGTGGTATTTGAACGTACTATATGTTTCTATCCTTTTATAGTGTTGGATATTTATTCTGAATTTATTATTGTTTTGAATATGTGCAGGTTTCATACAAAATGTGCTTGAGAAAAACCGTTAAGTTGATATTATTTCAAATTACCATTATTGTTCTCGAAGTACATATACCATTCCTGCTCAAATAGAACATTGCTGAATACAATGTTATGTAATAATATCGACAGCAGTCCCTCCAAAGAATGTGACCTCTCTAATACGTCACAGGTTACCTCTTATATACGTTTCAATTAACGTCACAGACACGTCAAAGGTGAAGACTTTGAGAAACGTCACAACTACCTCTCATTGTGACGTTACATATCAACATTTCGAAGACTTAATTGAAACTTGTATTAATTTTAAAAATTACTGTTGGTTTCTTTCTATTTCTCAATAAAAACATACACTTCACACATTATTGAGTAAATATATTTTATTTAATCTATAATAGAATATTGAGAAGTAATGAAATACTGAAAGATTAATTGTCAGAAATTGCATAAAAGCACAGTAATAAACAGCCACTCAAAATGTAAAACTAGTGACAGTAGATCAGTACAAAAATAAAAATAATATATCTGGTAATACATGAGCTCTTAAAAGTGAAAAATATATGAGAATTATCACGTTTTGTCAGTATAAAAATGGTCTACATATTGATCCCTTGACATTAGGCTTCAAAAGGGTAAATAATCGATATGATATCATTTTGCTATAATTATATTATCCTATATTATAGGAATTTGCTGACTAGCGAAATCACAGAGAGCAACTGATTCATTATTGCCCATGTATAAGGAGTTTCAAATTATTAAGTCTGCAAATGATCAAAGAGTCCGATTTGGATGTTTCTGTAATTCTTTGGCATTACAAAAAGTATTTCTCGTACTATAACTAGTTTACAAAGTTTGAATGTTGAAAGAAGTCAAAAATTTAATTCAGTTAGAAAAACTGGCATGGATCAGATCACGAGTGAAGAGTGCAGTGTCGCTCTGTAATGTATATACAGCTTGTGCTGCCGCCTAGTGAGTGATATATGTAACGTCTCAGTTACGTCTTCAAAACGTCCCCAAGAAAACGTGGTACCTGTGACTACTCGGAAACGTATATGTCACGAAATGAAAAAGACGTAACACAAGCACCAAATTGTGACCATAGGGTGACGTCACAGATACGTGTCGTCTTTAGTGGAGTGTCCTTCAACGTTTGTTCAGGTGATATTTAGAGGTTATGGCCCCACCTATGACCATCATGTGGGTAGTGCATGTCGATCTGGATAAATACAAGGTTTCTTACAAACTACGAAAATCTGGAACTTTGTCATCATCTATTCATGCTATATGGTTTTAACTGGAATAGTTAAACTTAGAAGAGCCAGTAAAAGCGATCGTGCAATTTAAGTACACACACCGTGTCTATGTTTCATTGTTTTTATAACAGTTGTACATTTGTTCTGCATATGTGTCCAGTTTCATAACATCGACTCAGTTTAGTAAGAGTTTTAGGATTACTCCATGATCAATATCTTGAGTGACTCTATATATATTTAGCAGACCTATCCAGTAGCTTTAACGATAATTCAAATTCACCTGGATAAGCCACACAGTAGATACATAGGAGCAAATTTTGGTGCCATGACGGAGTTGTTAATGTGTCTCTTTCACCCAAACTCTTGTGTTATTTAGCTTTAAAAGGCTTCTAAGTTAGAGACAACTAAAAGGACTTATAAACTTATAAACTGGATAGAGAATCAGTCATCAAGGGGAAAAAATTGTTTGAGAAAGTTGTTGGATCTAGAAGTCCTTTCCTTGACATTTGACAATGCTGTGATGATCCTTGACTTTAATCTCATTGCAACTTACAAACCAGGAAGGATAACTTCCAACTTCTGGTGCATCCTAAATCAATTGATCAGATTCTTCTCTGAATATCAACCTCAGTGTGAGAGAAGCAATGACTGACGACTGTTGTGATGGTTGACACTTGAAAAGACTGAAACAGGATGAGGCTGCTTGTACAGCACTCCCAGACTTCCACTAGTCAGAGAAATTCATTTACAACTCTGGTCTAAGCCACCCAAGAATTTGTCTTGTCAATTTTGTTCTAAAGTAACTGAACTAGCCTGTGTGGACTTTGACGAAAAAAAGAGATAATTATTTATAGCTCTGGATACATCTGTGATATCCAACAGTGTAACAAATATTTGTATATACATTTGACTTGTTTTAATATATTATTTTATAAGAAATAGACAGTTCTCCACAGTTCCAACAACCTTTCTGGGTAGCAGCCTTTCCTGCCGTGGCATCTTCTCTGTGTTGAAGTTTCCAGCATTGAGCTCTCTTGTGCCCAGGTTTATTACAGTGCCAG